TGGCTCAGCGTTTTTGTGCTAACCAAATAAGGACAACTGCCCTCTCCTATAGAAGCTTCTAAGTGTAGGAATTATCTGAAAGTCCCTAACTCATTTCTAGCTTAAACCCCTAAGTTTTTTTTAACTATTCAATTAACACCCTAAGAGTTTTAAACATTTACAAACCTAGGCAACAGAAAACAAACAAGCTAATATCTTCAAACGAATTGAAAGCAAACAAAATTCAAAGCTGAAAAAAGTATCTAACAACTGGTGAATGGACCTAAACCACTAAAATAAAACCAATTCATAATGAACTAAGCTATACAACGAACCCTAAATGGAACTTTCACAAGTACTGGAATGATCTATGCACTCTAAACCAAAATTATTAACTAAACATGCTCAAATAAAACACAACAATGCAATTGAACCTCGAGTTACACCTAAATTCTTCTAACATAAACTGAAATCAGAAAATACCATTGAAATAGAATTATTTCATGCATCGAACTAAATTGACTTTAGACATGCGATGAAATTCTAATCTGAATCCCTAAATACAAAAACCAAATAAATAACACACAAAACCTAACATGCAACTAAACATAATTGAAATTATGATGAGCAAACCAAGAGGTGGGAGAGGAAAAGAACAGAGGAAACAAAACAAAAAAGAATAGAAATGAACAAGTGACTAAAGGCTGGGGAGTACCGATTTAATCAACAAGATGACCAACAAAAGCAACGGAGGAAGACTGGCCAGGCTCGAGATGCTTCGACGAGGCTTGAATCTTACCCGAATGAATACTCTGGTCAAGAATAGCCTATTTGGGCGAGCTTCCAACCAAGACGAACAAAAACTTCAAAGAAATCCCAAAACTCAGAAATTAGGTCAAACCTAAATCAAGGATTCGATGAGTTCCAAAGATTATTTGGGGAAATTGTTACGGGTTTTGAGTTTGGGGAGGCCTGGTGATTATAGGGTGTGAGTTTGGGGTTATTTGGGTGAGTTAGAGTTTTTAGGCATCGATCTTAGATTTAAGATTCGAGCCGTTTGGTGATGATTCGAGGGACATGGATTAGGGATTTGGAAAGAGGAAGCGACGGGGGTTCTGGGGTGTTAATTCAGAGTGGATTGGAGATGGTCCGTCGCCGTGAGGCGATTTCCGGCCGGCGGACCATGGCAGAGACGATGGAGCAAAACAAGGCGGCTAGGGTTCTCATCTCTAAGTTTTGAGAGAAGAGAATGAAACGGGTTTGAGGGTTTGGGGTGGGGGAATTGGGTTTCGGACATATGTATATTAATTAGGCGATCAGTTCCGAGCCGTTGGATTATCAAAATCCAATGGCTGTGATGAGCCAACACAAAAACGGGGTCATTTGGGGATGGGGCAGGCCTGGACCGGGTTAATATAGTGGGCTGGGGGTTGGAACGGGTAAGGGGGAGTTTGGGCTTAACCTGAATTGGCTTAATTTGAATTAAAACAGCCTTTTTGCAATTAACCCTTTATTTCCTATTCTTTTTGTTTTTCTTTTTCGTTTCTCTTTTTTTTTCAATTAAAAACCTAAATTAAAATCCTAAATTAATATAGATTGTAAAACTAATCAATTTCATAAAAATTATAAAAAATTCCTTGATCCTAAATCAAAAGAGAAAAAACTACTATTCTAAAATTAAAGCTAAAAATGCAAGAATGGACTAGTTTTGTGATTTTCATAATAATTAACTAATTAACCTTAAGAATGTAAAAATAAAACCTAAATGCAATACATAGTATTTTTGGCATTTTTTCGTGATTTCTAACGAAAATTAAACGTGCACAAAAATGCAAATAATTAATAAAATTCTACAAAAATCTTATAAAATGGCAAATAACTGGAAAAAATCTATTTTCTTGAATTTTATAGGAGTAATTCATATAGATTAAAAATCACGTGCTCACAGCAGTCACAGTAAATCAAAAGTTTTACTGAGGCAAAAGTAGCTACAGTAAATCAGAAATTCGCTGATACAAAAGTAGCCACAGTAAACTAGAAGTTTACTAAGTGGTTTACTAAGAGATAGCATATGCCATGATGCACTTGAAGTTTTAATTTGCAATTTTTAAATGAGCTATTTGAGAATTTAGATAAGCAACTACTCAAGAACTAGAAGGTTCTTCAAGAATTCTCTTGTGTTGCTTGTTCTCATAATAAATTGATTATACCAGCTAAAGTTGGGACTAAAACCCCTGAATTCTGGAATATATAAAAGGTGAATATGGTCCATTCACCTATCATATGAACCACTTATAGATGCATATATGAGATGGTTACATGTGTGTTTATTGTCAACATGCAATTTGGCATTTGAAGTTGCTTTTCTCAATTAAGAGCATAATTTTCAGATTATGAAATCAAGATAGTTCTTCTTGATGATGTTGGTTTATATCCAAGCTAGTTTAGCATTGAATACCTCCTATTAATGGCTAAACTATTGCTTATGAGAACAAAACTTCATGTGTTGGTCTAAGATTTTCTAAATTGCATACAACAACACTTGTATGCATTAAACTAAGAATATATGATAAGTCCTCCCCTCACAATTGGTTTAGGATCAGAAACGAAATATTTTTACTATTTAATAACCTTTGATGTGTGGTATAGGATTAATTTCTCTATCACAATGCACAAAGATAGGTTTTTCATAGAAGATTGGGGATATATGTTAGTTTTTCTAACATTTGGAGGACGGAATAAATAGCTGGAAAATATGCTATATGAATCGAATTATCATTAATATGATCCTCACTTAGAAGATAATTCAAGTCAAATGGCATAAACATTTGTTGATCCAAAATTAAATATCATATTTCAGCTGCAAATGCTCATATTAACATTTCATGAAACTCCAGAAGAAGTTCAGGTACCTGAAAATAAAGAAAGTGATGAGATCTCAACAAGTTATGTAGCTTAGGAACCGATACAAAATGATCGTCGGCGATATATGTGATACAATATAGTACACAATATTGTAAAAGAATGTGAGGATTAGACCTGTAGTCCAGACACCTGAAGATGTCATGCCATTTAAATGCAAGTCATAACCTACATGACTCATTTGATTAATTCTATATGAAGATCCTTGAAGGATTTAAAATGCCTGAAGCATATATTTCAAAATCTTAGAGAAATGTATTTAATCAGATTACAAAGATCTTTGTACGGTTTAAAGCAGTTTGAGCGCATGTGGTATAATCGCCTTAGTGAATATTTGTTGAAAGAGGGTTACATAAATGATGTTATTCGTCCATGTATTTTTATAAAGAAAATGACATCAGAATTTGTTATGCTTGTTGTTTATGTTGATGACATAAATCTTGTTGGAACTCCAGAAGAGCTCCAACAGGCGATTGAATATCTTAAGAAAGAATTTGAGATGAAAGATCTTGGAAAAATTAAATTTTGTCTTGGTCTGCAAATTTTATATTTAGTAGACGAAATCTTTATCCATATATCTGCCTATACATAAAGGGTCTTTAAACGCTTTTACACCGACAAAACGCACCCATTGAGTACACCAATGATTGTTCGATCACTTAAAGTGAATAAGGACTCGTTCCGACCTCCAGAAGAGGATGAGGAACTCCTTGGTCCTGAAACACCCTATCTCAGTGCAATTGGTGCACTTATGTATCTTGCTAATACTACAAGGTCTGACATAGCATTTTCTGTTAATTTACTAACAAGATATAACTCTTCTCCTACACGGAGATATTGGAATGAGATTAAGCATATTTTGCATTATTTAAAGGAACTCTTGATATGGGTTTGTTTTATGCTAACAAAGATAATGCAGATCTTGTTGGTTATGCAAATGTAGGTTATTTATCTGATCCCCATAAAGTTCGATCTCAAATTGGATATGTGTTTACATGTGGAGGTACTGACATATCATGGCACTCCACAAAGCAATCTATTGTTGCCACTTCTTCAAATCATGCTGAGATAATAGCTATTCATGAAGCAAGTAGGGATACATATGGTTGAGATTAGTGATTCATTTTATTCGATAAATATGTGGGTTGGAATGAGATAAAAGACCCACAATATTATACGAAGACAATGCGGCATGCATAGTCCAATTCAAGGGAGGATTCATAAAAGGAGATAGAGCGAAGCACATTTCACCAAAATTATTCTACACATATAATCTTCAGAAAAATGGTGACATCGATGTGCAACAAATCCGTTCAAGTGACAATCCAACAGATTTGTTCATTAAATCTTTGCCAACTTCAATTTTCGAGAAGATTGTATACAAGATTGGAATGCGGAGACTCAAATATTTGAAACAAAGTTTTCATTAGGGGGAGTAAAATATGCGTTGTACTCTTTTTTCCTTACTAAGGTTTTTCCCATGCGTTTTTTCTTATAAGGTTTTTAATGAGGCAGCTAGAAATGTGTATTACTAAATATGTGCACTCTTTTTCCTTCACTAGAATTTTTTTCCACTGAATTTTTCTTACTAAGGTTTTAACGAGGCACAATATCTTTTAATGAATATCCAAAGGGGAGTGTTATGAAAATAATTATATTATGGATGTTATGGAGAAGATTATCCATTTAGTACTCCATTGAATTTATCAACAAGCAGTTTATGCAGGCAGGTTGCAATCAACTCAATAAAATGATTTGCAGCAACTTCTTGTTAAACAGGAAGGTTGCAAGCAACTGATGCAGACAACTTACAAGCAACTCAAGAAAAGCCTCGTAACTGCTTTCTTTTTTCTATAAATAGAAAAGTTTTCAATTCATTATGTACATTAGTTTGAATTTGAATAATAGATTAATCTCTCTTTATATTTGTCTTCGATTTATTTCCTTTTATTTTATAACAATTATGAGTTTTTCAATTTGTCAAAACAAACATCACCTCCCACCCAGCAAGAAAGTCAATGCGGACTTAAGTGGACTGGGTTGTGGCGACCCGAATACCCGTTAAACCATATCCGATAAAAAAGTCTAGATCCTTCTGGAACAGTACAACGAGCTGGCAGATTCTAGATTCGACCCTTGTTGTGATAACACTAAAAACTGCGATTCGCCTCCGATTCACATTACGTTATAGCTATATCTTTGGCCAAAGTTGACACCTTTCTCCTTTGCGAACTTTGCCCCTCCCGATCTCAATCTCCGGCAAAATTCAGTTTTAGTTTCCGGTCGTTTTCTCTCACGCTCTCTTTCTCCCGAGGCAAGAATCTTATTGTATTCCCTTGATTATTTTAATATTAGAATCAATTGTGAATTGGGTTAAAAATGCTTTGTATTGTTTGATTTTATATGTGCTTCAATGTCAATTTGTTTATTAAATTTGTTGCCTTTAGCGTTTTACGAGCTAATCTGCACTCTTGTTTGTATGACGTGTATAAAGTTCTGATGCTGTACCAATCACTAGTATATGCTGTCAGTTTCTCAACATTTTCTATTAGCAAATGGAAAAGGAGTTTTTTAGGCAATACGAATACCAGTATTTATCTTGCATCGTGGGAGTTATGAGTAAATCTTTTACTTGCAAATCTATCACTTTGACCTTAATGTGTAGTATCACTTTTTGATAACTGTACTGTCCGGGTTGGATTGCGTGCACCTCGACTAATTCCATGGGATATGTGTTACCGCACTAGCGCAGGTACCACGTAACTCCGTCCACCAAGGCTTGGATATATTGGAAGAAATCACCTAGTTCTTTGCCTCCGCTGGACTTGACCGTGAGACCTCACTGTTTTCAACTCACTTTATTTACCACTAGGCCACAACCTTGGATGCTCAATGTGTAGTATCATTAATATATTGGAACTTTTATTCCACTTTTGGCTGACTCTAGAATCTTTTGTACGCTACAAAAGTAACCTATTGGGTTTGAGTTACTGGAATCTCCTATGAACTGCGGCCTAGCCAATTGAAGCTGCATTCACATTTGTCACTAGGTTTTTGGCTAGAATCTATAAATTGGGGGTGTGCAGACCCATCGGCCATCTCCAATTAGCTAATGCAATTCTTTTCCTGATAGTGGATCACATATATAGGACCAACGTGGGTAGTGGTCCATGGACTAAATATTTAGAAGCTCAAAAAGGTCCATTTACAGTTCAGACTATTTAGGCTTTTTAACCATTGTTTTTAAGTATGTAATAAATGAAGGCCCATTTGAGGAAAAAAAGTTGAAAATTTAGGGACTATATGGAGAGTACCAACTCGTTCTATTTCTAATGATAATATGATGCGTTTACTGATCTCGGTTAAAGATTCATTCCTTACTCCTGATAAGCAACAAGGACAAGAATAAAGGAAGTAGGTGTTAAAATATTGAAAAGGAAGATAAAACTAAAGATGTGGCGTGATTTCTTATTATCATATTGTCCGCCGTGGTTATAAATGGCAAGCTTATATTGTATGGAATTGGCACGTCATCTGCTGTACCCTTTGCTTCAAATACAATTGGCAGGTATGAAAAAGTCTTACCGTCTTGTGACCTGAATAGTCTAATATCTTCCAAGTAGTTTTTTCCTTGACATGTGAGAGTGAAAGTTGTCTTATTATTTGGCACCAACGGGTTGCCACCAAGTATAGACAGGCTGGAAAGTTGAGCTATAGAAAAGTGTGTCCAAAGTTACTATAATTAGCTCGTTCTTTTAAGAAGCTATTGGTAATTTTAAAGAGAACCCACATCCCCTTGGGCTTTGGTTCAACAACAAAAGTTGTGCAATGTGGAATGCAATATGTGCTACGTGCACACCACGAGTTCGAAGCTTGGCTGTTAGGCCAAAGTCTACTATTTAAGTGGAGAAGACTAGAGGGACAAGTCCATTATCCCCAAATTTTCTCGGTAAAAAAAAAATTGACAAGAGAATACACAAGACCATGCCCTTAGGAAAATGTTCCAAGAGTTTGCCGTATCTTCCCTTGCATAGTAATTTTCGAGCTATTCTTCCCCGGATCTGTGGATCATTCAGTGTATTCTTCCAACAAAACAGAAGATGAGCGTGCTAAGGTCCATAAACAATGTGAAACGGATAATTAATGGTATCTTTAGTCTCGCCGCACAAATATATGGGCAGTATAGTTTCTCCTTTTGAAACCAGAGTGTTGTGTGTGTGTGTTTTTTTTTGGGGGGGGGGGGGGGGGTT